TCGTCAAAATGAGAACGTTTAAAAATTATGATAATTCATTATAATCATTTATAAGGAAAATCACAAATTACCGTTAACGTTACACTGCGTTATAAACAAAGTTTTAATTTTTTTTTTTTTTTATAGCATTAGATCATGCAACAAAAAGGGGTGTTTTGCATAATATGATCGTCAATCGAAAAAAAACTGTTACAGAAGCCTTATTTGCTATATCGTATAGTCAATAAGTAGTTACTGCATATTACGGATATTAAAGTTTCATATCAATTGTATGGATTCACTAAATAGAATAATGGCCAGAATTTCCGAATATTGCAATTCCAAAGTAAATTTCGTAAGCTCTGTTTTGATACTGCGGACTAAAGAATTCGTAATGTAAATTCATATTCATTATTATTAGCTGCTAATTTAAAGTTTTGAAGACATAATGAAGAATCCAAAATATTTCGGCAGATTTCTGGGATATTCATTAATGAAACTTAGACCTCATAAAGTTAATATATTTTTTTAAATACAGATTCAATTGGTAAAAAAGCTCGGACACGTGATTTCTTGCCCTGACCATAAACTAACTTATTGGGGGTTTAAATTGATACACAAATATCACGTGATAAATAATTAGCCAATCACAAATAACACAAAATCTTGTATTACAATACAGATCTTTGTATCGCGTTCATTTATATTTGTCATAATGCCTACCCTTCTCAAGAATGTAACAAATTGGCACTTGTTTTTTGTGTCAAATATGTTTGATTTATAATAAATACTTTTTAAATATTAAACTTTATTTATACTAAATATCATAATATTGATACATACAGACCAAATTTGAGACTTTGTATCATATAAATTAATATTTTTAATATCAACTATTCTTAGAGTGTCCTCTATTAACACTAAACCTCCAATATATACAATAGCTCCATTAGATAACATAGTTACGGTAAAATATTGCGTAGTTGGTTTACTAGCTGGAATGATTAACCATGATAATTCAGCTGTACTGTATTTAGAATGACCATATCATTGTAAAATATTATTGTTTTGAACCTAAAGTCTTATCAATATATCCACCAAAAATATATATTTTTCCAGTATTATCAATAACACCCTTCATACTTCGTCTTTCTGGTGTGGTTCCTTCGATATAAGGTATACTCCACGATAAGCAATTTAAATTAAATGAATGAACATTTGAAACAAAAGCGTCTTGATTTAGATTATTACGCATGAATCCACCAAATAAATAAAAAGTTTGTTCATTATTATTCAATAATGCAGTTCTCCAGCAACTTTTAAATGGTATTCCGGCATTTTGCGTAAGAGAAGTAAGATAAACCCAAGGTGGAGCAACTAAATTAAATGACCGAGATAAATCGAGATAAAACACTTGATTTGTACATGAATTAGCATTATCAACATATCTGCCAAAAAAAATACAGCTTATTTTCAACAAGGACAGACAGTAGAATGAACTAAACATTCTTCAGGAGTAAATGAACCAACTTTAAAGAATAAATAGCTTAACAAACAAATGAACAAGTTAGGCAATTTGCATATTTTACAAGTCATGATGTCTATTAATTCTAATTAATTTGTTAAAAAGAAAAATAATAAAAATGTTATAAACGAAACGTTCGAAAAAGGAAGAAATTTAAATAAAATAACAGGCATTTCACAAGATATCATCAATGTTATACTGCATTAGAACAAAGAGTCGATCATTTTATTTGTTTTACAATAAATGATTTTCATATTACTTAATCCGCAGCCAAAGACATGGCACGTGATGCATCTTTTTACATCATACTTTTGTTATTCCATGTAAATTAGGCAAAATATAGAGTAAAAAAAATAAAATAAAAAAAGTGATAAGTTTTAATTGAATTTCAATTCATTACTTTCGTATGTTATTTAAAATTAATTTAAAAATGATGCATGATGTAACGAAAAATGTACGAACATATCGAAGGATTAAAAAGTAATAAGATTATTAACAAAACAAAATAAAATACAACATAAAATCAACATTACTTCTCAACTGGCGCTCTGTAATAGGCCTAATGAGGAGTAAATCAATTCTATCGAAATAGCAAAACATAACAAAATTTCCTTCCAATTGCTTTGTTACGGTTGTCACTTCTTTTTACAAACAGTTTAGAATCACCAACATATGTGGGTTTTTTTTCTGAAAATGAATAAATACATTTAATAAATAAAAATTATTCCCCCATCTTTAAGCTTTTTACCATTTTTTTTTATCAATTTTTATTATTTATTTGATTTTGATTTTTATTATTTATCTTTATTTCTAATTTTATAAATAAAGTTAAAATATTTAATAGTTATTCGGCACTTCGTGCCGAATAACTATTATATTGGGAAAATCAAATTTGGTTCCCAATATTATTAGCTACCTTGTAGGTAGCGGTAGTTATTCGGCTCGAAGTGCCGGATAAGTGATTTATCCGGTATCCCGTGATTTTTTATAATTAATAATGACTATAATAAATCAATTATCAGGCAAAAAATCATTATCAGGCATTAATAATTTTTCTTAATGCCTGATAACCGATTTTTTGCCTGATAATCGATTTATTATAGTCATTATTAATTATAAAAAATCACGGGATACCGGATAAAAAATTATATTATTCTCTATTTTAATTTGTTTAAATTATATGACATGTCTGTCATAAGTCATATAAGTCATAAATCTTTCGCAAATGACAAATGATACAAGTCATTTAAGTCATTTAAGTCATATGATGTCATACCAATACTGAGCATAATTGCATACTTTAGTCATGTACCAAGGGGACCGAAAGATATCTTATCAGAATTTTTAACTCTTTCTTTTCCACCAAATCAGTATATAATGTTACATTTAACATTAGTCACCGAATATAAATACAGACACTGGTGCTATTATTGAATTCGGAAGTGTTACGAATTGTATTGATAAATCAAATATAACGTAAAGGATGCTCGATTTCTTGAATCGCATTTAAATTGCATCAGATCTCCCGGCCCTGATGCCACTAAATGGTGAGATATCTCTAGAAATGATGTTTTGTCACATATACGTTGTTGTCTTTTCTTGAATCTACGTGTACTGCCATTACAATTATTTGATAAAGATTTGTCTTTCTTTGCAATGCAGATTTTGCGATATAACAACACTTTTCATTAAAAAATATATATATATGCGAGTATATATTAGAGATGTGGATTCCATGGATTACGTCATCTGACTTAGCAGGGTAAAATGGCAAAAATAAATAAAATTACTTACACGCTACATTAACACTTTAAACAAAAAATTATTATAATTCCAATTAACATCCATATTTACCATATCATTGATTTGTTTGAATAGATTAATCTGTTTTTATTATATCGAAACATTGTTCAAATATACTTACTTTAATAAATTAAATTATGTATATTTTTTAAAAGTCGCATTTTAGGAATTTCTTAAAGGAATGGAAGTTGAATTTTAAGAGTTGCGTAGATATCTTGTTTTTAAAATATAAGTACTAGTTTTTAGAGTCATAATTTACAGTTTCCTAATTATACCTTCCAGGTTTAGACGATTCTCAAATGGAATTGTCGTATGCTTTTAATCACAAAAAATAATCTAAATTAAATAAAAAAAAATATTTATTTGCTTGCTTAATGTAATAGATATTAATCAATTTAATTGAATACATTTCTTATTGTAAAATTATCCGGAAGGTAATAAATTAAAAGTGTTTGGAAAGTGCTGCATATATTGTAATGTATTACTGTTATGTAAAATTTTTTACTTTATTGAATTAAATTCTTTTTTGAGACGTAGCCGAATGTCAAATAATTCTTGACAATAATGCTATTAATCTGCATACTAGATTTGACTCTTTTCATGCAACAGTAAATTTCAACTGTTTTCAAGAATTGAAGATTATCTTGAGTTCTAATAAAAGGATGAGCTATAAGCAACTGTAATAATTAATTAAAATAATGATTACATAACTTTATTGTTTTTATTAAAGAAAATTGGTATTTATTACGTTTTAATTATTAATAATAATTGCGAATTTTATTTGCAACGTCCACATGAATATAACTTTTTAAAGTTTTACTTACGAATTTATGAGTCATCAAAATACTGAAAAAATTGAAATTGATCTTAGAAAATTATCACTAATAAAGGTTGGAACCGCATTTATTTTTATATCAGGATTTATTTATTTTCAAAAATTGGAACCGGATTTAATCCGAATTTATTATATCTGGTTTCTTCGGATTCAATCCGGATTTATTATATCTGAATTAATTGTAACCGAAAAAGCCATCAACTGCTAGCATAGCTATAAGAGGTTAAGAACTTTCATAATGCTTTCATGTAAATATTTAAATTTTTTTGCTTAACGAAAAAAAGTCTTATGCAATAAGTCTGGTTAAAACGATAAAAAGATAATACATTTGATTGCGTCCTTTTCTTTTCTTTAGGAAAATTTTCAGGCTGCGATACATAAAAAGTTTTTTTATAATTTTGTTTTATTTATTTATCTTTTTTTTTTAGGTGATTCGCATTGATAGTTATGTTTCTTTAATTTTATTAATCACTAAATTTTGTTATTCATTTTTTTAGGCGATTGAATAACTGCGGGCCATATCCATCGAAAGATCGCGCGGTGTGTAATTTTTTATTTTGTTTTTAACTTTTCTGTTTACCTTTTTTTACATTTCGGTTTAAGCCGTACCATTAATATTTTTAAAGATGCAATGCTTGTGGTCGAGCCAGAAGTGAAATATGATATGAACCGGAAGAAATTGAAAAAACTCGCAAATATTTACAAGAACTAGAAATAAAAAAATCTTCTCTCAAAGAAAAAGACGATAATGAATTAGAAAAACTTGGTGTCGTATCACTTGTTATGTCTACATAATTCATTAGCGTAGCATTTGTAAGTTTAGTTTATAATATAATGAATAAAAATTTACAAGCGAAAATAATATTAAGCATTATTTTTTTTCGTTTCGGGTTTCTAAATCCTTAAAAGCAAACTTTTAGCCAATATAAATAAATTATTTTTTGTTAATTGTGACGCGCATTGCATTGTATGACTGATCAAAATAACTAGATTCCGGGTTTAAATAAATCCGGATATCATAAATCCAGTTTTTCTGCTGGGCAAATTTTGTATCCGGTTTTAAATCTAAACCGGAAACCGGATTTAAATCCGAAGGTCGAATTAGGTTCCAACCTCTAATCACCAAATTTAGTTCGATCATATGGGATCTCTTTTAATTGACACTTTAAATTATCAATTGGATTCGGTAATAGCAAACAAAGTAGGTAGGTGTACAAATAATTCAATAAAACTGGGCTGCAAAACAAGATTATTTTTAAAACATTCTTTAATAATAAGGAACTATTGACGATATTAAGTGACCAAGATAAGCACGCCGTAATGAATAAATACATTAAAAGAATAAGTATTCCTTGCTACACTAATATACATAGAATTTTTTATAAACAATTATAAACTATTTTATTTTAAAAAAAAAAAAATTTTTTTCTGTTGAAAATTTAATTATTATACATTAGACTTAGCCAATATTTACTTAGTTATATAAGTACTACTATTATGTTCAACAATATTTCCAGGCAAAGTATGTTCTTCATTAATGTATCTAGGATTTTGTTCATTGATTTTTTTATTTTTATTCCATCTATAAAATAAAAATCCACATGCCATAATTATAACGGCGCCCACAGTTCCTCCAATTGATGCGATTATAATTTTCATTGTTACCAAGTCACTATTAGAATTATTTGCAACAACAATAGATGGCGATGAATTTGTTGTTGGGTCAGGATTTGTCGTTATATTTGCACTTGCTATCTCAAATGAATTAACCCACGTATAATTTCTAATATCCATTATGTAAATATTAGAACTTTTTAATGGTAATGGACTGGCATTTGGTTGTGTAATATTTCCTATCGAAATACATTAAAATAAATTATAAGGTTTGAAATATTTAAATAAAGGAATATCGATTATTAATTACTTACCAAAAGCAACAATCATATAATTTCCAATAATATCAGCTGTATGAGCTGTAAGAGATGGTGGAAGCTGTCCATTAACAGGTGGCACCATAAATTCAAATTGTTCGGTTTCCATATTTAAAACGAACAAATCTGGAACAACTTGCATATCAGTTATACCATTAAAGGTGCTAGCACCACCATAAATAATGATATTTTTACCATTTGGAGCTATTTTAACAAAAAAGTGGCAAATAAATTAATAGATAAATCTTATATAAACTTTTAGATCATAATTATTTACCTAAGACTGCTGTATGTCTAAAACGATTTTGAATTACATTTGAAGCTGTTGCAACCTATAAATAAATAAATAAATAAATATCAACTATTTTAAATTCTATTATTTGGGCAGTTTGTTATAAAATCACGCTACGTATCATGTAATTTACTATGTCTCGTAACTAAATTTTAATAGCAAACGGCCCATTTTATTAAATATTATAATATTGATACATACCTTCACTGACCAAGTTGAGGTCTTTGTATCAAAAAGATTAATGGTTTTAATATCAACAATTCGCAAGGTTTCTTCAATCAATTCTAGACCACCAATATATACAATAACTCCATTAGATAACATTGTTGCGGTATAAGAATTTTGCGCTCTTGGTTTACTAGCTGGAATGATTAACCATGATAATTCAGCTGTATTTAGGATAACCATATCATTATAATATATATTTGTTGGTGAACCTAAAACTTTATCCAAAATTCCACCAAAAATATATATTTTTCCAGTATTATCAATAACACCATCTATACTTCTTCGTCTTTCAGGTGGAGTCCCTTCTACATTAGGTACACTCCACGATAAGGAATTTAAATTAAATGAATGAACATTTGAAACAACAGCGTCTTGATTTAGATCATTACCCATAAATCCACCAAATAAATAAATAGTATGTTCCTTAACATTCAATAAAGTAATTCCCCAGCAACTTATAAATGGTATTGCAGCATTTTGCGTAAGGGAAACCCATGATGGAGCAACTAAATTAAATGACTGAGATAAATCGAGATAGAACACTTGATTTGTGCAAGTCTTAGCATTATCAACATATCCGCCAAAAAAATATAGCTTATTTTCAACTAGAACAGTAGAATGAGCTAAGCGTCCTTCAGGAGTAAATGATTCAACTTTAAAAAATAAATAGCTTAACAAAAAAATGAAATTAAGCAATTTGCATTTTTTATAAGTCATGATGTCTATTAGTTTTTTACTTTTTTAAAGAAAAAAAAAAAAAAAAAAAATCGAAAAAGAAAATTTAAAATAAACAATCCTTTTTTGGAAAATTTCATATCACAAGATTGTTATACTGCACAAACAAAAGAGTCGATCGATTCTTTTTTTTTTTTAAAACAATAGGTTGGTGATTTTCATATTATTTAAAATCCGCAGCCAAAAATCAGAAAAAAATATTTACCAAACTGACTTTTTTATTCTTATTCCATAGATGGCTTGTAAAATGGACCTATTTTCGTATGGTAATTAAAAATAATTTAAAAAATGTTTGCATCGATATACGATTGAAATTAAAAGTGAAAGGAAATTTATCGAAGGGTTAAAAGAAATAAAATTTATCAACAAAAATAAAATAAAATACAAATAAAATACAAATAAAAATCTACAATTACTGCCTCAACCGGTAATAGGCCTAAGGGGGACTATCTAATTCAATTATATCGAAATATCTAAATTTCCTTCCCATGGCTTTGTTACGGAATTCCCTATAAAATATCTTCTAATTGCGGTTGATGATCGGATAGACAAATTAATTGATCCCTGATGGTCGTTTTAATAGTTTGGTCCATACTTGTCGCTAAAGTCCGAAATAGATCGATCGTCAGATCCGCAATTTTACTTTGACGTGTAATTTAAAAAAAAATATATGACGTTAAATAACTAAAATCCCAAATTTAGGTATCATGATTTTGAATTATTAGGGTTTTCGTAAATTATTGAAATTGGCTGTGTGATTGATCGACAAAAACAAAACACAAGAAACAACAATCACGTGATTAAATGATTGGCATAACACAAGATCTTATACAATTAAGATTAATTTCAAAGAATTTTTGTATCGCGTTCATTATATTTGTCATAATGTTTAAAATAAAAGTACCCAACTCAAGAAAGTAATAAATGTGCACTTCTTTTTTGTGGCAAATATGTTTGTATTATAATAAACTATCTTTTAAATACTGTCTAATATGATTTGAGAAAAAAAATAAAAAATACAAAAAAAAAAATGAAAAAGCTACTCTAGATTGTATGATTTAAATAAGAATTATAATTAGTTAAAACTGTCTGAATTAAGGGAAGCTAATAGAATTAATTTATAATAGAATGAATTTATTCAAAATTTAAATATAGTTTATGTAAACTTAAAAAAAGTCTCTAATAATAAAGACCATTCCAGTAAATCTACTAAAAACTTACAAATCTAATACCAAATCAAATTAAGCATCAAGGCTAACTAAAACTAATTTTTCAGCTAAACATTCTAGAGTAATAAATAATAATAATAATAATGAATTTAGTAAAAATGATAATGATGATGAAAACTATGATAATGATAAAGTAAATAAAATAAAAGAAATTATTAAAATAGAATTTGAGAAAATCAGATGAATAATGAAGAGGAGAATAAAATTTTGGGTATTAAACTAGAAGATAATATAGAATTGGGTGTTAAAAATGAAGTAGATAATTCTAAAATTAAAGAATCTGAAGATAAATACATACAAATCTCTTTAAATTAATAATTTAAAAGAAGGATAAAAACAGTATAGGAAAAAGTTAAACTATTTATTAAACAAATGAGTACTTTTATTTTATGGTGTAGAAGCTTTATATAATCTTTATTAATTTTACAAATTTATACAAATACAAAAAAATAAGATAAGAAAATATAAAAATGTTTATCTAAGAAGAAAAATTAAACTACGATCAATACTAATCTTCCCTATAAATAATCAGTATAAGGAAAGTATACAGAAATAATACGTTTAAAAAATGTATAAAAAACGTAGAAAAACAGTATAATAAATTCGTAAATATTTCCATATATAAGATACTGAAAATCGACTTTTTCCGTATGCAAAAACATACAGAATTTATATGTCTAATCAGTATATTGTATACGTTATTTTTGGTTGGGGTTTAATATATAAATATTAAATTATATACACATTTAATCATTAAACTAATATAACTTTAAAAATTAATTACGAAATTTTTATTAAAATAAAAAAATAAAAAAAATAAAAAATAAAATAAAAAATAATTATTCTATATAATAAATTAATAAATTAATAAATTATAATATTAAATAAGAGTTTACAATTTAAAAATAAAATTTAAAAATAAATTATA